TATTTCATGCAAGTTTTTCCATGTTTTTCTAAAATCAATGAGCTCATCGTTTTGTATAGCACAGTGGTATTCCATTGCAATCATGTACCACAACTTGTTTAGTCATTCCCCAATTGATGGGCATCCTTGCAATTTGTAGTTCTTTGCTACCACAAAGAGAGCTGCTATTAATATTTTAGAACAAAAAGGTTATTTTTCCTTTCCCTAATCATCTTGGGAATCATACCTAATAGTGGTATTGCTGGGTCAAAAAGTATAGACAGTTTAATAACTCTTTAAGCATATTATTATCTACTTTAAAGGAAATGTACCCTAAATATTTAACAGTTTTCAAACATTTTTGCCACAGTTCAGTTAATAATCTAACAACATCCAGATTAAAAGAGAAGTTACTTTTCTAACAGTATTTCTGATACAATGGTTTCTCAAATTTTATAATATAAGAAAATATTTTAAAATACCTAACAACATACATGATATCATATATTTAAATCATCAAACAAAATATATTGCCAGTCAAGTGACATCAATTCAGTGGAATGCCTTTCCAAATTATCTAGAATTTATTATTTATGTCTTTAGAATTTATTATTGTTTTCATTCTATATTGATTGCATTCAAGACCAATATATAACAAATATTTATATAGTGCTTTTGGTTCCTTTAAAATTACCCAGTAAGCCAAATCAATTCTTTCATGATTAACCAAGTCCCAAATATTTTAAAAGGGTAGATAAAGTGCATATTTCACCTTTCCCTGAGGCATCTACTATTCTCTGCAGTTTTCACCATGGGAAACCATAGGCCTAGAATTCCCATCCCCTTATTTTGGAGCCTGGGAGACCCTAAGGTCTTCTGTACAACCTGTGGCTGCCAAAATGTAGAGGATTTCTTTTTCCTCTACTTTTTTTTGGGGGGGAGGGGCTAGGCAGTGGGGTTCAGTGACTTGCCCAGGGTCACACAGCTAGTAAGTGTTATGTATCTGAGACCAGATTTGAACTCAGGTCTTCCTGAATCCAGGGCTGGTGCTCTATCCGCTGCGCCACCTAGCTGCCCCTCCTCTACATTTTTTGAGGGCCACCCGGAATCCTTTGGCAGGCCATAGGTTGTGCTGCAGGCCTGCTCTAAGGGTTGGGACAGACCCTTCAAATGGTCCTTCAAGAACAGAGTGTAAGCATGATCAAACCTTTCTCTTAGTTTTTCTGGTTAATTGATTCTTAGTTGTAATTCTAGCTCCATTGCCCCCTGGAATATCATATTCCAAGCCTTTTGATTCTTTAATGTAGAAAGCCACTAAATCCTGTATGATCTTGACTGTGGCTCCACAATATTTGAATTGTTTCTTTCTGGCTGCTTTGCAGAATCTTCTCCTTGGCTTGGGAACTCTGGTATTTGGCTGTAATATTCCTTAGAGTTTTCATTGTAGGATGTCTTTCAGGAGATGATTTTTGGATCTTTCTATTTCTATTTTAACTGCTGGTTATGGGATATCAGGGGTTTTCCTTATCAGTTTTTTAAAAGATGACATGTAGGCTCTTCTTTTGATCATGGCTTTCAGGTAGTCCTGAATCTCTCTCCTCAATCTATTTTCCAGGTCATTTGTTTTTTCCAATGAGATATTTCATGTAATCTTCTATTTTTTAATTATTTTGATTGTTTTATTGTTTCTTGATGTCTCATGGAGTCATTAGTTTCTACTTCCCCAATTCTAATTTTTTTTTTGGGGGGGGGGGCTAGGCAATGGGGTTAAGTGGCTTGCCCAGGGTCACACAGCTAGTAAGTGTTATGTGTCTGAGGCCAGATTTGACCTCAGGTCCTCCTGAATTCAGGGCTGGTGCTCTATTCACTGCGCCGCCTCGCTGCTCCCCTAATTCTAATTTTTAAGAACAGTTTTCTTCTTTGACTTTTTGTACCTCCTTTTCCATTTGGCCAATTCTACTTTTTAAGGAGTTCTTCTTTTCAGTTGATTTTTGTGCCTTTATTACCATTTGGCCTACTCTATTTTTTAAGATGTTATTTTCATGTGTGTGTGTATATCTTACTTTACCGAGCTGTTGACTCTTTTTTCATTGTTTTCTTGCAGTTCTCTCATCCCTTTCCCCAATTTTCTTCTACTTCTCTTATTTAATTTTTAAAATCCTTTTTGAGCTCTTCCTTGAATTCTTTTTGGGCCTGAGACCAATTTTACATATTTTTTTTGAGGTTTTGCATATAGACATTTGTTGCCCTCTTATGAGTTGGTGTTTTGATCTTTATTGTCACTATAATGACTTTCTATGGTCAGGTTCTTTTGTTGTTGTTGTTGTTGCTTGCTCACTTTTCTAGCCTATTTCTTGTCGTAACAATGTCAAAATTGGGCTCTGATCCTGGGGTGGAGGGGGCACTGTCCCAAGCTTCAGGTTTTTTGTTCTGTTGTTTTCAAAGCTAGTTCTGGGAGTCTGTAAGTTTTCAGTTTTTCCAAGGTGGTATGATCTAAAGAGAGGTGTGGTCACTGTTTTTCTGGCCTTTATTTTGGTCTGTGAGTGTTTTCTGTCTTGGAACTGTGACCAGGGTCCCTGCTCCCTTGCATCTGGGAGTTCTAGTATACCAGTGCTCCTATTTGCTCGGAACTGTGACTCAGCTCCCATGTATGGGCAATGTAACCGAGTCCTGCATCCAGTGCCAGCAAAGAGTCCCCTGTAATCTCCTCTTGAACAGTTGTCCAGCCCCTTACTAGCTTGTGAGCTGACAGCTCCACATAAGTTGCTGCCACAGATTTAGTTGGCTCCAAGTCCTGCTGCCACCTTTTACTGGGGGTGGCCTGCTGTTTGCTGCCTTCTGTGGGGCCAAGGAGCTTTGCTGCTGGGGTGTGAGGCCTTCCTGTTGGCTTACACCTAAGTTGCCCTCGGCTGGGATATTTTTCATCCCATCCTTTTATTTGCTTTACCTCTCCAGAATTTGGGTTTAGGCATTATTTTAAAGTTCTTTGGAGGGGAATTTGAGAGAGGTGAGTCTTTGCATTTTACCTCCACTGTCTTCCATCAAAACCTTCTCAAATCACTTTCCAAAAAGTCCAAACCCCTACCTTCATTCACATTGTTTGAGTAAACAGACTTCAAACTTTTTTTTCAGCTTTTCTACCTATTCTCCTCTCATCTCTACTTACTTGAACTTTCTCTGTTCCTCTTCTCTCCAGTGGTCTTTGATAAAGCCTACAAACTTTGAAACTAACCTTTCATTTTATACTCTAGATTACTTACTTCACTTTACCATCACTACTTTAAGTACATTATTTCTTATTTTTCCTTAAAACAAATTCTATAGAGCAGTACCCCCAACCTCACTTAAGATATTTCAGCAGTTATAAAAACATTGAAACCACGATTTGGAAATTTACAGTACAGAACTTACATTTTAATCAGAAATTTAGTCTCTGGTTTTATAAAACCATGAATTCCTGCAGACTGAGAGAAAAGATTACCTTCTCTTTTATCTCTGTAATCTCCAACCTGGCCAGACATGCAGAGAAAAAGGCTGTTTTTCTTTCTTTCTTTTTTTTTTTTGCAGTTTTATGTATAATCATCTTTTTATTGTACTATGTTTATGGCAGTGCTTACTTTTATTCCATAAATTAAAATGTTTTAAATTTTTTTTTTGCCCTTTCAATATAAATTTATTTATTTTTAGTTTTCAGTATTCACTTCTACAAGTTTTTGAGTTCCAAATTTCTCACCCCTCCCCCCACCCCAAGATGGCATGCATTCTAAATACCCCTTCCCCTGGTCTGCCTTCTCTTCTATCTTTCCCCCCTCCCTTCTCTTATCCCCTTCCTCTTCTATTTTCCTGTAGAGCAGGATAGACATCTGTACCCTATTTCCTGTATTTCTTATTTCCCACTTGCATGTGAAAACATTTGTTTTTAAAACATGTGTTTTTAAAACTTTGAGTTCCAAATTTTCTCTCTTCCTCCCTCCCCACCCACCCTCATTGAAAAGGCAAGTGACTCAATATAGGTTGTACATGTGCAGTTATGCAAAATACTTCCATAGTAGACATGTTGTGAAAAACTAACTCTATTTCCCTTAATCCTATCCTGCTCTCCCATTTATTCTGTTCTTTCTTTTGACCCTGTCCCTCCTCAGAAGTATTTGCTTCTGATTACCCTCTTTCCCATTCTGCCCTCCTCTCTATCACCCCCCTGCTCTCTTGTCCCCTTCTCCCCCTATTTTCCTGTAGGGTAAGACAGATTTCTGTACCCAATTGAATGTGTATGTTATTCTCTCCTTAAGCCAAATCCTATGAGAATAAGATTCCCTCATTCCCTCTCACCTTCCCCTGTTTCCCCTCCATTGTGAGACTTCTGTTTTTTTTTTTGTGAGATAATTTACCCCATTCTACCTCTCCCTTTCTTCTTCTCTGAATATAATCCTCTCTCATCCCTTAATTTTATTCTCCAGATATGACCCCTTCATCTTCAACTCACCCTGTGCCCTCTATCTATCTATCTGCCCCGACCTGCAGGGCCAGTATACGTGGGGGGTCGAGGAGGATCCTGGCTGAAAGGAATGGGTGAAAGGAGGAGCGAGACCAAAAAGATGGTAGGCAAGGTCTAATTTTATTTTTGAGCGTTCCAAGCTTATATAGGGTAAAAGTGGGGAGGGGCTAAAGAAAAAATAGGCCTCCGGAACTTTCCAGGGCGGTATGGCAACATTTTGTGGTTAGTACATCTGTTGACGAAAACATGTTATGATACGGTTTGTCCCGGAACAAGCTGCTTGCGGTTTGGTGTTTTCACGGGGTTAGGGGCCCACTACCAGGTGCTGGCTTCCAACATGTCCCCCTTTTCTATTTAAAATAGCAGGTGAGAGGCCTGTCTTAGGCTATGAGGTCGTCCTCCATGTTCAAAGCGCATTAGTGGCAGTGGTCCCTGTCTTAGGCTAAGCGAGGGGTCCCCCACGATGTAACCCATCATGGCCTCACTCTATTCCCGTCATGGGGAAGCAACTGCAGCCGCGCTTATCTTTTTGACACATGGGACCTCAATATTCCCGTCATGGGCTCTCTCACAGCTGCCAGATCACTTTTTATCCTTAAGATTTCTCCACCACCGCGAGCAGCGAGATTCCGGATGCACGAGCTTCGAGAACTGGAGACCCTCTTCCATGGTATCACTAGGATCTTCTGACAAAGCAAGTTGGTGGTAATGGATATTGACGGTGTTTTTAAGAGAAGCCTCAATCTGCGTCTTAATGAAAGAGGTTAGTCTGGTAAAGGCCCAAGGTCCAAAAGAAAAAAGTAGGAGGAGACCAATTAAAGGTCCAAGAAGAGGGAGGAGGTATGGGAGGACTCCATTCAAGCCACTCCAGAGGGGATTTTCAAAAAGTTTTCTGCGTCTTTCAATCAGATCCTCTTGCAGTTTTTTGATTTTATCCCGCACTATCCCAGATTTATTTGCATAGAAGCAACATTTTTCTTGTAGGGCTAAGCAAATTCCCCCTTGTTCTGCCGTGAGTAAATCTAGGCCCCTCCTATTCTGAAGAACGACTCCCGCCAGGGAGTCAATTTGGTCTTGAAGGTCATTTATCGTCCCCGAGAGGGTTTGCACATCATTAAGAAATTGATGGGATAGTTTTGTATATGAATCAACAGCAACTCCTATGCCGGCAGAGCCGGTAGCGAGTGCCCCTGTAATCCCAAGGCCAACAAGGAGGGGGATAAATGCAACAGCCCTCTTGGGTCTTCCAGTAATATAATCAAAACTGGGCAGTGGGACAGGCTCATCTCCCGGAATGATGTCGATATCAGGGAGGATTGAAATTTGTGTGCAGAGTCCTGTCCAATTCTGGGGGAGAGCAGAGTAGGCCATATTTCCCCCACAGGCGAAAAGTTGTCCCGGCAGGGGACAGAGAGGTTCCTGTGAGGTATAGTTTTTGACTTCAGAGCAATTAGCAAAGGTAGCAAAACCAACATCAATATCAGCAGTGGAATTCTGAAATGGGGCTTGGATACAAGGAGAGGGGCGGAGACCAACAGGTTGTACCTTAAAAGGTGGACTAAGTGTGCAATTTGTGGATGTGGAGCCATTTGGACATCAAAGCTATGGGCATAGGTGTGCCAAGGGCCATACACAGCCAGCAATCGGCAGCCAAATCAGGGTTAGAGTAATTAAGGGCCTTAAGTGTTGCTTCAAGGATTTCTGAAGTTTGGACATCTAGGTCCGTTCCCCGGGGTTTGGGCAGTGCAAGTGGATGGTAATGGATGGGGGGATACATACTCTTAATTATTTCATTTATTCGTTCCCTAACCTCATGTTCCCTAATTTGGTCTGTAGGGCCACCCCCATCAGAGATATGGACAGGTGCATGAAGGGGCCAACAGACATTTTTTCCAATATTTTCTTTACGACAGGAAGCCTGAGCATACTTATTGGTACTTCCACGTAGGCTTGGAGCTATCCCAGTCCCCTCCTGTGGAGCCACCATATTCTCTTTCCTGTATTGTAGTAAGATAGACTGTTCCTGAGCTGCCACTGCACTGCTGGGTAGAACTATAGCATGTGGAGTGCAAGGCCTCAAGGTAGTTGCAATCACTGGGGCAAGGCCCGGGCTGGCCACCATTCGGAGGGATAACTCGGGGCTTCCTTACGCATTCCCACTTGGGTTTGGAGACCGTGATAGAATGACGGTAGGCGAGGTAGGCTGTCTTTTCCCCGCAGTCCACTTCTTGCGTGTAGGTGGCGGGACGGACAGTGAACGCCCCCGCCGCAGTCACAAGGGCTTCCAAAGAGGGCACGGCTGAGCGCTACTGGGTCAGGAGATTGAAAACCACCGTGGCTCCCACGGAACAGGAGGAAAATTACGAGGATCGTCATTTTCTGTAAAACAGAGAAAGAAAACAGAGGTGTCTCAGGGGGTGTGGTTCCCTGGACGGCATTATGAGTTTCTGGCTTGTCCATCAACCTAATCAGCCTTTCAGGCAACCATCTAGCATTTTGGCACTTTGAGTCATAAATACAAGCATGGCCTTTGCCCCAGATTAACACAGGATCAGGGCCCTGCCATTTGCCAAGCAGGGGATCTTTCCATTTTGCCTGAGCGTAGGTTTGGGCCGTAGGAATGCCAAAGGCGGTCTGCGGCACTCTTTGCCGCAGTGTCCAGAGTGAGAAAATTTAAAACAAAAAGAGCGTGATTGAGCAATGTTTTGGCATTGCCAGCTCTGGGATAAAGAACTTCCCTCCCTGATTGTAATTTCAGGATCATGTTTTTCAGTGTCTGATGGGCCCTTTCCACAATTCCTTGCCCTTGAGGATTATAGGGTATACCAGTAACATGCTTAATATGCAACTGTGTACAAAAAGATCTGAAAGAAGAACTGGTATAACCAGGGCCATTATCTGTCTTAAGAATTTTGGGCTGCGGGAGGACCGCCAAGGCACTAAGGAGGTGATTAATGACATGTTTGGTGGCCTCTCCAGGTTGCAGGGTGGCAAAAATGAAGCCACTGAAGGTATCAATGGACACATGAACATATTTAAGCCGACCAAAAGGGGGATAGTGAGTGACATCCATTTGCCAAAGTTCCCCGGGGATAAGACCTCGGGGATTGATGCCATTATGAGGTTCAGGAAGGAGGGTCAGGCAACCAGGGCACTGTTTCACAATCTGTCTGGCTTGTTCCCGGGTTATAGGGAACTTGAGACGAAGCGTATGGGCATTCAGGTGATGCAGCTTGTGGGCTTGTGTGGCAGCCTCAACAGGGAGGCAGACAGAGCAAGCAGAATGCGACGAGTTACTTGATCAACCTGATCATTCCCTTCAGAAAGAGGACCGGGGAGGTCGGAATGGGCACGAATATGACCAATGAAAAAGGGGTTGCGGGAGAGAATTAGAAGCTGAAGAGTGGCAAAAAGAGGAGACGCATTAGTGGAGGGACGGATATACGGGACGGTTTCCAATAGAGGGACTGACTGTGCAATATAGGAACTATCAGTATAAACATTGAGGGGGCCCGAGACAGATTCAAAAACCTTAATGACCGCTGCGAGCTCTACCAGCTGCGCGGAGGTGAAAGGGGTGTCAAAAGAGGTGACCTGTCCATCAACACTAAAGGCTGCCTTCCCTGTGGCGGAGCCATCAGTGAACGCCAAATGGGCGCTCTCTATGGGCTCCGCTTTGGTGATCCTTGGGAAGACCACGGGTGTTTTCTGAAAGAACTGAATGAGCTTATCTGAGGGATAATGATTGTCTATAGCTCCCATATAGGAAATGCAATTAACTGCCCAATCATCATCATTCTGAAGCAGCCATTGAATCTGCGAAGCAGTGTAGGGGCAAACAATATGATCTGGTTCTCGACCAAAAAGTCGAAGGGCTGCCTCTCGGCCGAGGCGCAGGAGCCCTGCCGTTAAATGCGGGTAGGAAGAAAGGATCTTTGTAGGTGTGGCTGGCATATGAATCCAGAATAACGGATGTCCCTGCCATAACAATCCAGTGGGAGAAAAAGTGGTGGAAAAAATTAAGAACCAAAGAGGTTTTTGAGGAGCGTAATAGCCAATATGTTGTTCATGAATGGCTTGCTCAATTAAGGCAAGGGCCTTACGGGCCTCCGGCGTGAGAGAGCGGGGTGAATTTGGATCGGAGTCTCCTTTAAGAATATCAAACAAGGGTCGCAGTTCCCCTGTAGTGATCTTAAGATATGGCCGAAGCCAATTCAATTCTCCCAGTAATTTTTGGAAATCATTAAGGGAGCAAAGGTGACTCACTCGTAGGCGAACCTTCTGGGAGAGAATGCGATTCGTCAAGAGTTCAAATCCCAAGAACAGCTGGGGGGGGCAGGTTTGCACTTTATCAGGGGAAATATTAAGGCCCCGATATTCCAACGCCTTAATGAGCTCCTGTGATACCTGAGTCAATTCCTCATTATTTGGTCCTGCAAGGAGGATATCGTCCATATAATGGATAATATAAAGCTTGGGATACTGCAAGCGGAAAGGATCAATTGTTTGGGCAACATATTTTTGGCACAGCGTAGGGCTATTAGCCATGCCTTGTGGCAAAACTTTCCACTGAAAGCGCGGAGAAGGGCCCACACAATTGGTAATAGGAACACTAAAAGCGAAGCGCTGACAATCGGAAGGGTGGAGGGGAATGGAAAAGAAGCAATCCTTAAGATCAATTGTAATCTTAGAAAAATCTTGCGGTATGGCTACAGGGGAGGGGAGCCCAGGTTGAAGGGCCCCCATAGGAATCATAGTTTTATTGACGGCCCGTAAATCATGTAAGAGTCGCCATTTACCTGATCTTTTTTGGATAACAAAAATGGGCGTGTTCCACGGGGATGTAGATGGTTCTATGTGACCTGCAGCTAGTTGCTCCTGCACTAAAGCAAGCGCTGCCTCCAGTTTTTTCTTGGGTAAGGGCCACTGGTCTACCCAGACGGGTAGGTCATTTCTCCACGAGATCCTATCTGCCTGGAGTGCAGGAGGACCCGTGGCCCTCACGAAAAATGGTTCTGATTATCTGGGCTCTCACAACCAAGGCCTGCTCGTCCTTTTCTCCCTTCAGCAACAATGGGGACAGTTGCCCTTGACCTTTCTTGCCTAATCCTTGCCCTGGGAGAAATCCCTGGGAGAGCATTTGACGGGTCACAACGGTATTTGGGCTGCACATAATTACCCCCATCTGTGAAAGAATGTCCCTTCCCCATAAGTTGACAGGTAAGCCGGGGATCACAAAAGGCCGAACAGTCCCTTTATTTCCTTCTTTGTCTTGCCAAGGCAGCCATTGAGAGCTCTGTAGGGTATTGTGGGATTGACCTATGCCCTGCAAGTGTGTCATGGATGGTTGAAGGGGCCACGAAGGCGGCCAACTATCTTTTGAAACAACAGTCGAGTCAGCTCCTGAATCTAATATTCCTTCAAAAAGCCTGCCTTGAATAAAAAGCGTAAGCATGGGGCGGTCTTGGGAAATGGCCTGGACCCAATAGATGTCTGAGGAACCAGGCTTGGAGTGGCCTCTAACAGTGGCGAGAGCAGGGTATGGAGTCTGTAGGGGGAGCGGGAGAGCCTGCGCAAGGCGTTGTCCCTGACGGACAGTGAGGGGCCCTTTCAGGGTTGAGGCAAGTATCTGAATTTCCCCCGTGTAATCACTATCCACAATGGAGGGTGAATCATGAGGCCATTAATAGTAGCGGAGGCGCGACCAAGGATGAAAAAATAGAAGTCAGGGGGCGGGGGGCCAAAGATGCCTGTAGGAATAATATGGACGCCACCCTCGGGAGTCAATACTGAGGTGGAGGCGGCACACAAGTCCACCCCTGCGCTTCCTGCAGTGGCTCTGAAGATGTGGGGTGTGGACTGGCTGATCCCCGAGGCCCGAACAAAGGGGTCGACTGGGGGGCCCGGGGCTGGCCCCTCCGACCGTTTCCCTGTAAAGGGTGGCCATGAACGTCTGTAGTTGAGCGGCAGGTTTGCCCAGTGTTTCCCTTTCCTACACCGAGGGCAGAGGGTGGAGGGTTGGGAAGCCTTATTGCTGATTGGAGCGGAGGGAGTGTCAGGGGCACTAGGGCACTGTCGGGCAAAATGGCCAGGTTGACCACACCGGAAGCATGCCTTTTGGGAGTCCCCGGTTTGGAGAGCTGCCCCTATGGCCAGATGTACGGCCTGGGACATTTTGGTAGTGAAGGGATCTACATCTCTGCACATACGTATCATTTCCTCTAATGTTTTATCTCTCCACTTCCCGCGTAAGGCAGACCGACAGGCATTGTTAGCATTTTCATATGCTAAGCGTCTCACAAGCTGATCATTAGACGCTTCTTGCCCTAAGGTTCGTTCAGTTGCTTCCAAGAGCCTACTAACATACTCAGAGAAATCTTCCTGAGTTCCTTGTACGATCTTATTAAGCGGAGCAAGGGGGGATCCAGAAGTGGGCAAGGCACGCCAAGCCGCGAATGCAGCATTGGCGGTTTGCGCCAAGAGGCCTATTGGGAGGCAGCGTTGTTTGGCCTCCTCTGCGTATTTCCCTTGACCACTCAACTTCTCATAAGTCCACTTTAAAGCGGGGGAGCCAGGGGATTTTTGGTTGGCTGTAGCCATGGATTGGCAGCGGTCGAAGAAATCTGCTTTCCATGTCAAGAACTGCCCCCTTGAAAGGACTGCCTGTACTACACGAAGCCATTCTGCCGGCAAGAGATATCCTCCGCGGGACATAGATTCAAGAGCTGAGAGGGTGAACGGGGCGTTAGGACCATAGGACTTGACGGCGGCGTTAAGATCCTTAATCCCTTTGAACTGCAATCTCCTATATTCTAACCGCTGTCCTTCCTTTTTTCCAATTGCCCATTCCTCTTCTTCTATTTTTCCACTATCCTGTCCCTCCCCCTCTCCCTCGTCCTCTTCCCTTCTTCCTCACTTTCTTCATCTCCCTCCCCTTCACTGGCAGAAACTTC